AACCACTCCATATGATTGGTCATCACCCAACGGTCGCCCCTGGTGATTTGCATAAAGTTGGGAAAGGTTTAACTTTTTCACCACTTCCCACGCCACCTTCGCGGCGCCCAAAGGTCCCTTGCATGCTCCGCTTCTCACCGCTTTCCTTCCATTGAAAATGAATGGGAAGCGGTTCTTCACCGCGCGGCACCGTGTACTAGTGTGGCACCGCTTCACATTCATTTTCAATAGCTGGCTAGCTTTATTGGCGTTGTGACATGAGTATGAAATTGTAATTCTGGTTGTTTAATGTTTTAGGGACTCCTGAAACAACCAGCAAACCAGGTTGTCCTCTTGTGAAACAGTGGATGTAAATAATCTAGCTAGCTAAAGCATTTACTGCAAATTGAATGAACAATTTTGTATGCTTGCCTTGCTGATATTTGCTATGCAATGCAGCTGAAGTAACATAGCTAGCAACTATTTTCTTGCTTATTGCGCAGTGGAGGATAAAAATACATGTATGCCTATGGATGTGTAGCTAGCTATGTAGCCGATCGGTGTATGGACCCTAAAACGTTTGAATGAATGAATTGGTCATTTAGCAGACGCTCTTATCCAGAGCGACTTACAGGAGCAATTAGGGTTAAGTGCCTTGCTCAAGGGCACATCGACAGGTTTTTCACCTAGTCGGCTCGGGGATTAGAACCAGCGACCTTTCGGTTACTGGCACAACGCTCTTAACCACTAAGCTACCTGCCGCCCCGTATATTGGTATAAATATTAGTTCAGAACCTAGCTATGAACCTCAGCTATCAGAGCAGGTTGTATCAACTTCAAAACAGTCTGAATGGCATTAAAGAAGCCTATGGATTGAGTAGAATATAATATAACTTTGTGCCAAGAAGTTGTATATACATGTAGTTATTACCATGCATGAGATCCCCACATTGTAGCCTGTACATTGAATATATTCACTGATCACGTACTCTACCTTGGCAAATAAAGGTGCAGTTCAGGTATGAATTTCCGTGAGACATTCCTTTTCAGTCATAATCAGAGTATCATAATCAGAGTATCAAACTTTAATTAACACTTTGTCTGCATGTATGTATTACAATTATACACTTCAACAGTGTTTACCAATCCTGGGACATCAATGGTTACACATGGTAACTATGCAATAGACTACAAACATGATTTAACTACTTAAAGGCTGATTTGTCATTCATATATACAGAAACATTTTATTTTTTTAAACAGTACACTACACTTCCTATGCATCATGTGAATACTCTAAAGCAGGTTCATCTCACTATCTAATTTCCTTCATCTGCATTGATCTGAAGACACTGGATAGGTGTAGTATTTCATCAAATGAGAGACTTCATTTCAACCAGTAGAGAATGTGAAACTCTTTATTGAAAGAAGATAATTATCCAAGTGTTATAAATACATAATACATGCATTATAAATATTATAATATTATATCCTAAATACAAGTTAAATCTGTACTTCAATGCACATCTGGTGTGCATTATAAAAACAGAGGAAGAAAGAGGAGGTGGGTAGAGAGGTGTAAGAAAGAGTGTAAAAGACAGAAAGGCAAAGAGGTAAGAACAGAGGAGCAGGGAAGACAGCATATGATTAATGAATTACAGTGCTGCTTAACTTTATATTCTCTCAGTTCATCACATTTACATAATAGTGTCTCTAGTGGTGTCAACTAACAGCCTTGGGCCCCCAGTTGGCCCGAAGGTTATCTTAAGAGCGGGTGGGATGGTGATGACGGGACTTGGGGTTGGCACCCTCTCTCACATCAAAACATACCTGCAGACGAGAGAGCATGATTAAGGCTTTTTTTTTTTTTTATTCTAACACTGTCAGTCATCATAATCATCAGGAGGTGAAATGCAAAACTGACCTTGTATCAATAACTCTGGGACTCCTACATCTCTCTGTATTTCAATGTAAAGCATCTCTTTAATAATACTTTGTTGACCCGACCAAGTGACCACTCACCTCTGATCATGCTGTGCCCTCTGTCAGCTAGTTCAGATGCAGGAGGGGTTCACCGACACAGCTGATATAACCTAGAGGATTTAAGGAGAAGGGGGGAGAGGGATGAAGTGAAGGAGAGACACTGTTATTGAGAAAATAAGGTTGTTAAAGAGACAACGTTCAACAGGAATCTGTGTGTGGTCTCACCTGGTGTCCCCATTAAGTGGCTGCAGAGTACTTTATACTGAGAAACATGCACAGACGCATGAGGACAAACAATATAGCGTAGTTATATAAATAATTAAGTGTCTTACTATTATCCATGGTTGGTCCTCTTGCCTATTCTTTGAAGGTGGCGCAGTTGGTAGAGCATGGCGTTTGCAACGCCAGGGTTGTGGGTTCGATTCCCACGGGGGCCAGTATAAAAAATAAAATCTAAGAAATAATAATGTATGCACTCACTAACTGTAAGTCGCTCTGGATAAGAGCGTCTGCTAAATGACTAAAATGTAATACATGAGTGTGTAGGTGTGGGTTATAGGGTATCTAATTGTTCTAAATGTTTTCAATATGGGTGACTCTTAAAAATAGCTTTTTTTGTTTTTGTACAAACATCACCCTTACCTGAACAGCGCCCTCACCTGAGAAGTAGAAATCAAAAAGGAGAGAAATTGGGAATTTAACAACTGCAGTTGACATAGCTAAGTAAATGAAAGAATACTCTTATTGCAATGTGGATGGCTCTTAAGAGCATTTGGTTGTGCATAGTGTAGTCTATGGTGTTGTCAGGGAACAGCACCCTCTTTGAAGAAATAGGAGGTGAAGATCTCCCGCACATGGATTGCCTCCCGTGCTGCGTTGTTGGCCCCCATTCTTGAAACATCCTGCAGAGCAGTAGACCTCTCCTCTGGCACACGGCGGCGAGCTGCAGATCCCCTCATGGTCCTCGTGTCCATCCTCATGAACTTATGCAGGACACAGGTAGCCTTCACACACCTGAATTCCCCCAGGAGGCAGTCCCAGATGGCCCTGGTCACCCAACCTTGCATTGCCCTACACGGTAACTGTAGGCAATCGTTTTGAAGGAATCTCCAGTTACAAGGTATCTGTAGGTATATGGAAGAATGTCATTAGACTTTTACATCACCAGGTCATTGTGGATTACTAAAGTATATCCCTTATAACAAATCATGATAACATTGGATAAATAGATGCATGTGCACACACATGCAAGTGTAGCATTTGACAATAGCAGGATCAAGGATAGCATCACAAATGAATACATAAATACCACTTGAAGCTTGATGATGACTTGATCATGTGAGTCAGCTGTGTCGTGCTAAGGCAAAAACAAAACTGCGCACCCCTTTGAGTCCCCAGGACCAGGACTGAGAACCACTGCTCTTCATTGGGACCTCTTCATCTGCAGACAGGCTTTCACAACTCTCTGTATCTGTGTACAGAAAACCTCACAAGAAACAGACTTCATTATACTCAAATTAGACCGCACTGAATATTACGTTACTATTATATCCATCCTCACTTCTAGGGACTGGAACTACACAAAAGTACCTGCCCTATCCAGAACAGCCTACTATCTCACTTTGACAGATGGGGCTGCTATCCTTTCACCCTCCTCCATGGCTGTTAGCTAGCTACCTACAAATGCATTTGGAGTTTGTTTTTTACAGTGATAAAAACATAAAGATAGCTAGCTAATATGAAGTTAGGTAGCTGGTAAAATTTAATTCAATTAGCTAGCTATCTATACAGTATGTAAAGTTGGCTAGACAGCTAGCTAGCTACGTTAGCAGCTCATTTGAGTTAGCCTGCACTGTAGCTAGTTAGCTAATAATACATCGTTGTTGTTGTTTTTAAAATTTCGAAATGTATTTACTTACTTGAATAGGTTAATTGGAAACAGGGCAGCAATGTTTGGTTGTTACCAGAGCGGTTTAGGGCATATTTCTATTTACCTGTGAATAACCAGACCTTCATACAAACTTGCTATGCTGAATTCCTGACACACGATTGAACGTGCTAAATGCTGCCGGCACGCCCACAAGCGAGCCACTCTGGGCGGCTGATGCGGCAATTTACCGCGTGCTAGTGTACACGGGGCATAGACCACTGCGCCACTCCGGAGGCCCAGAGTTCCAAGACTCCCAGTTGTTTTGAAGGCGGCATTAGCTGCCTGCAGACTGTGCCTGACTAGAAATACAATAACTTTGGTCAGAAGTTGATGACTTAGTTGTGCGCCCTTTGGTCAGTGCATGTTACACACAGATATTAACAAATGTCAAGGTTGAATGTTTAAAGGTTTTATGTAAAGTTATATTGTGCTGATAAGAGTATAAATGTGCATATTAAATCAGGCTTCTGTGTATGGTGGACAGTACCACACAGTTAAATTACTGCCACTAGCACTGGAACACAGCAGGTAACGATACTTTTTGATACACTGTAACTAACTTAACCGGTATATCAACCGATATAACAAGACATTACTTAATGAATGTCACAAGCTAGAATAAGATTGCCGGCTACAATGTTGCAGAGAGTTCGATCACTCTGCGCTCGAGGCTTTAAGGCTAACTTATTTGCTTTGAGTGTGTCAATATCGGTGTAGACAGAGTTTATGAGTTAGCTAATAACCAGATTGTACTATTTAGCCAGTGGACTGCTTGGCTTTGATTTTAACATCTGATAGTGGATGAGATTTATCATCATGGATCAACTTTATGCTGTACAGTTCTTCTAACATCTGGAGTTTGTCTCTGCTTCTTGGTAGCAACGTGGCACATACCAAACTAAAGTGAAAGACCGTGATTTCATTGTGCATTGTAAGCCTGTCTGTATTACTGTTCTGAGCTGTCTATCCCACAGATCTGATTCATGGTGTAGATAATATATCTCTAACCCTGTTGCCCTGCAATACAGGACACTTTTGGCTTAGTGGGCTGGGGACCCGTGACACACACAAACCTACCCGTGTAACACCTGTCCATCTCTACCAGCAGAGATGATCCACAGTCTGTTCTTGATCAACCCTTCGGGGGACATCTTCCTGGAGAAGCACTGGAAGAGTGTGGTCAGTCGGTCGGTGTGTGACTACTTCCTGGAGGCCAAAGAGAAGGCCCTGGAACCTGAGGACGTTCCACCTGTCATACACACCCCTCATCACTACCTCATCAGCATCTACAGGTCATGCATACAGTGCATTAGGAAAGTATTCAGACCCCTTGACTTTTTCCAAATTTTGTTACGTTACAGCCTTATTCTAAAATTGATTAAATCATTTTTTTTCTCTAATCAAATCTACACACAATACCCCATAATGAACTAGCGAAAACAGGCTTTTAAAAATGTTTGCAGATGTATAAAAAAATAAAAAGTACTTTATTGAAGCACCTTTGGCAGCTTCTTGGGTAGGACGCTACAAGCTTGGCACACCTGTATTTGGAGAGTTTCTCCCATTCTTCTCTGCAGATCCTCTCAAGCTCTGTCAGGTTGGATGGGGAGTGTCGCTGCACAGCTATTTTCTGGTCTCCAGAGATGTTCAATCATGTTCAAGTCCGGGTTCTGGCTGGGCCACTCAAGGACATTCAGAGATTTGTCCCGAAGCCACTCCTGCGTTGTCTTGGCTGTGTGCTTAGGGTTGTTGTCCTGTTGGAAGGTGAACCTTCGCCCCAGTCTGAGGTCCTGATCGCTCTGGAGCAGGTTTTCATCAAGGATCGCGCTGTACTTCATCTTTCCCTCGATCCTGACTAGTCTCCCAGTCCCTGCCGCTGAAAAACATCCCCACAGCATGATGCTGCCACCACCATGCTTCACCGTAGGGATGGTGCCAGGTTTCTCCCAGATGTGACGCTTGGCATTCAGGCCAAAGAGTTCAATCTTGGCATTCAGGCTAAAGAGTTCAATCTTGGTTTCATCAGACCAGAGAATCTTGTTTCCTATGGTCTGAGAGTCCTTTAGGTGCCTTTTGGCAAACTCCAAGCGGGCTGTCATGTGCCTTTTTTACTGAGGAGTGGCTTCTGTCTGGCCACTAACATAAAGGCCTGATTGGTGGAGTGCTGCAGAGATGCTTGTCCTTCTGGAAGGTTCTACCATCTCCACAGAGGAACTGTAGAGCTTTGTCAGAGTGACCATCAGATTCTTGGTCACCTCCCTGACCAAGGCCCTTCTCCCCCGAATGCTCAGTTTGGCCGGGCGGCCAGCTCTAGGAAGAGTCTTGGTGGTTCCAAACTTCTTCCATTTAAGAATGATGAGGCCACTGTGTTCTTGGGGACCTTCAATGCTGCAGAAATTGTTTGGTACCCTTCCCCAGATCTGTACCTCGACACAATCCTGTCCCGGAGCTCTACGGACAATTCCTTCGACCTCATAGCTTGGTATTTGCTCTGACACAAACTGTCAACTGTGGGACCTTATATAGACAGGTGTGTGCCTTTCCAGATTATGTCTAATCAATTGAATTTACCACAGGTGTACTCCAATCAAGTTGTAGAAACATCTCAAGGATGATCAATGGAAACAGGATGCACCTGAGCTCAATTTCGAGTCTCATAGCAAAGTGTCTGAATACTTATGTAAATAAGGTATTTCTGTTTTGTATTATTAGTACAATTGCTAAAATTTTGCTTTGTCATTATGGGGTATAGTGTGTAGATTTGAGGGAAAAATAATAATTTAATCCATTTTAGAATAAGGCTGTAACGTAACAAAGTGGAAAAATTCAAGGGGTCTGAATACTTTCCGAATGTACTGTATGTATGCATACAAAGACAAGCACACACCTCATCAACATCTACAAGTTATTTTATTGACTTTTACATCACTATTTAGGAAACAACCATGTATCCAAAACCAATGTAAAAACCTGCTCACTCAAGACAGACGGTTTTAAGGTCTGTCTTTACTAGTGTGTTTTTTTTAAACATTTGTTTTGGATACAATGTGTGAATGTTGCTTCACAAATATTGATGATTATTACTGTATTTATTATTACAGGGACAAGCTGTTCTTTCTCTCCATCATCCAGACGGAGGTTCCTCCGCTGTTTGTCATTGAGTTCCTGCACCGCATCGCAGAGATGATCCAGGTCTGACTCAACTCTAAGCCTGACGAGTTGCCAGGATTAGTTAAACATTACTTGTTATAAAATAGTTAAGTGTATGTGTGTGTACGTTTCTTTCTACAGGACTACTTTGGGGAGTGTTCGGAGACAGTCGTCAAGGACAACATGGTGATGGTGTATGAGCTGTTGGAGGAGATGCTTGACAATGGGTTTCCACTGGCAACCGAATCTAACATCCTCAAAGAGATGATCAGACCACCCACCATCCTCCGATCTGTTGTCAACACACTGACAGGTACCCTACCACTACACGCTAACCTCTACCCTACTCTAAACACTAAACCCTACAGCTCCTTGACCCCTACACTCTAACCCCTCCCCTTACACCCTAACCCGTAATACCTACTTCCCTCAAAGTGTGTGTGTGTGTCAAAATCAAATCTAATTTTATTTGTCACATGCTTCATAAACAACAGGTGTAGACTAACAGTGAAATGCTTAATTACTGGCCCTTCCCAACAATGCAGAGAGAGAGAAAGAGGAATAATAGAAAAATAATAACACAAGGAATAAATACATAATGAGTAACGATAACTTGGCTATATACACGGGGTAACAGTACAGAGTCGATGTGCAGGGATACGAGGTAATTAAGGTGCCTTCAGAAAGTATCCACATCCCTTGACTTTTTCAAAAAATATTGTTACAGCCTGAATTTAAAATGGATGATATTTTGATTTTGTGTCACTGATATACTCACAATACCCCATAATTTCAAAGTGGAATTATTTTTTAAGAAATGTTTGCAAATTAATTTAAAAATGAAAAGCTGAAATGTCTTGAGTCAAGTATTGAACCCTTTTGTTATGGCAAGCTTAAATATGTTCAGGAGCAGTGTTGTAGTACTCAAGACCACATATTGAGTGTCTCGATCTTGTCTCAGTGTCGGATACAATTGTACTCGGTCTCGGACAGTGAGGACTCGTAATTTATTCCAGAGACCAGCGGAGTAAAAGACCTCTATCAGCTTCCATTCAGTCAGCGCATAAAACAGCTTCACCAGGCCAAATATATACACTCCTATCTTGAAACATTAATATCTTAACAGCCTTATCTATTATAGATATGTTTGCGCAGTGGCGAACCTATAGGCCTTCACTGTGTGACTGGTTCGTGAATCTTTTATAAAAAAAATGTGTTGGTACTTTTTACCCCCAATTGGTAGTTAGTCTTGTCCCATCGCTGCAACTCCCGTACGGACTCAGGAGAGGTGACGGTTGAGAGCCATGCGTCCCCCAAAACACGACCCCGCCAAGCCGCACTGCCAAACCCTCCCCAAACCAGGACGACGCTGGGCCAATTGTGTGCCACCTCATGGGTCTCCCGGTCGCGGCCGGCTGCGACACAGCCCGGGATCGAACCCAGATCTGTAGTGACGCCTCTAGCACTGCGATGCAGTGCCTTAGACCGCTGCGCCACTCGAGAGGCTCTACAGGTTCGTGATTCTGAAAGGACTGCAACCATAATACCAGCGCACTCATGTAGGAGAGTGCACTTTTTGTAAAACACAAAGGGCCAGTGGTGGATTGGAGGGTATACGCAGGTGTAAACCGTATACCAACTTTTTTCATTGGGCATTGTGTATACTCACTTCTTAATCCCTACTGATGCGTATCAAAGTAGTGTAGTGGAGGTATACAACTTATCAATTTTCTAGTACAATAGAGAAATCATGCACAAAGTATCCTACATAATCACAAAGCACGTGAAATATATTCACATGCACGCAGCGCACATAGCCTAGTTTCAGCAGAATATAATCTGCAGGCAGCGAGAGTGTGCAGCTCTCAATGGGTTTTGGCATGGAGCAGTTCACAGAAGAATGACATCTGTAGCCGGTAGGATAGGAAAGAAGTTTCAATTTATGATATCCGCCAGTAAATGCTAACTTAGGCAACAATGGGTATGCAAACCAGATATTGAAAAGGTTTAGTCCCAAGTGTTGGTTAGTAGGCTATTTGTGATGCTGCAATTGTCATCATGTGCTGTTTACATCAGGGGCGTAGACATGGATGGGCCTGGGTGGACACAGGCCCACCCAATGGGGAGCCAGGATCTGACAGGCCCACCCAATCAGATTGATGTGGTTTAAGCATTGTTGTGGACTTAGACCAAACTTTTGTATTTTTTCTACAAAAAAAAAATGTGATTTTGAGTGATAAAAAATACATAGGAAAACACAGGATTTTTCACACAGGGTGCCTTTCCTTCGCGGGGCGGGTCGTTACTTTTGGGCAAAATTAGCTTATACCCACTTCTCCAGGCACCACTACACCACGGCATAGGGCCGATGGAGAGACAGCAGTCACACACAGCATGATGTTAAAGGATAAGTGGTCCATAAACTCGGACACAATAGGCCAGTTGGTCCCAATCATAATATAAAAACACAACCATTTTAAGCATTTCCCAATCTAAATGTACAACTATTACTTCCCATTGCAAAAAAAACATTTCACATTTAGCACACAAAGTTTAAAGTGGAACTGACAGTGTTTTAATGACTTTGCAGATATGAAACAAACAGACAATCATAATCAGTAAAAAATATAAAATTCCCAGTTTATAATAATAATATGCCATTTAGCAGACGCTTTTATCCAAAGCGACTTACAGTCATGCGTGCATACATTTTTTGTGTATGGGTGGTCCCGGGGATCGAACTCACTACCTTGGCGTTACAAGCGCTGTGCTCTACCAGCTGAGCTACAGAGAACCAACTTTATAAGAGGTTTTAAAAATAGGTTATATTTGACTCAACGTTTCATGATGTACACTAAGGCATTGTTGGTAGAATAGATGGATTCAGTTCAATGCATGATTCATATAATTCACCAATACATTTCTTGGTAGTCCAAAAAATATTGCTATCAGGTTGTAAATCACAGCTGGCCTGGTACATTGTTTGGAATGCACTGTTTCAGTTAAAAGTGTCATTCTTCCTGGTGGTGTAAATGAACAGATTTTAATAAGATTTCATGTTGCTAAAATGCTGTCAGTTCCACTTTAAATGCAACAATGTTTCACACACATAAGTTATTTTCAAAGAGATGGCTAACAACAGCAAGCGCGCTGCAATAAAAAACACAGTTCCACTCACCAGATGATGATCATTTGAAACTTCTTGTTGAAAGTTATTATTGAAAAGGGAGACACTAACAAATTAGCAACAACATCCTCTTTGATAACACCTGCTGCAGCCGCTGCAAACTAGCCGACAACAAAAGCTAGCTAGCTAGACCGTGGGAAAACTACTGCTCGCTATTGCGCAGTGACCTGTTGGCCTTCATGAAGACAGAAGTTTCCATACGTTTTTGTAAAAACGGTCCCACCCATTAGGTCAAAATGGATTAGTGATTCCACTGTAACTGCAAAATGTTGCCCTAATACAGTTGAATGGCAGATGCCTTTATCTAGCTTCTGATGGCCTAGCCAATGGCTGACTTAGCTAGCTAGATTTATCTCCCAAGACCAGCAAAGAAAGATCCTGATGGGATCTTTTTTTCCTCCTCAGTGTTAACCATTTCCTTTCCAACAAAAACTGAAGAGATTAAATCAGAACATCATTGAAAATAATAATATAATAATAATAATAATATTATTAATAATGATTTTATAAATCCCTTATTTGAAGTTGTAGAAGGCCCATTGTTCCCCACTGTATTTGGGTTAGTAATAATTTGTAGAGTGGCTCTATTTTCCCTCAGCATGCATTTTTTTCCCCCTCAGCATGCACTATTCTGAATGTCTAAAGAATCCAGATGTTGTTCTGAAATATGAACACAGAAATACTGGACATTTTGAACTCTTATGGTGGTGATTTGACAAAATGACTCGCATTTGTCTGGTCTCGGTCTTGACTCGATCTTGGACCCCTTGTCCCCCTCCCGGTCTTGGTCTTGCTCAGACTCGATTTGCTCTGGTCTTGGTCTTAAATTGGTCTCGCTTTAGGTGGTCTCGAACACAACACTGTACACACTCTGTGTGCAATAATAGTGTTTAACATGATTTTTTAATGACTACCCCATCTCTGTACCCCACACATACAATTATATGTAAGGTTGCTAAGTCAAGCAGCTAATGTCAAGCACAGATGAAACCACAAAGACCAGGGAGTTTTCCAATGGTTCGCAAAGAAGGGAACCTACCTATTGGGTAAAAAAAAAAAAGCAGACATTGAATATCCCTTTGAGCATGGTGCAGTTATTAATTACACTTTGGATGGTGTATCAATACACCCAGTCACTACAAAGATACAGGCGCCCTTCCTAACTCAGTTGCCGGAGAGGATGGAAATTGCTCAGGGATTTCACCATGAGGTCAATGGTGATTTTAAAATAGTTACAGAGTTGAATGGCTGTGATGGGAGATAACTGAGGATGGATCAACAACATTGTAGTTACTCCACAATATTAACATACTGTAAATGACAGAGTGAAAAGAAGGAAGCCTATACAGAATACAAATATTCCAAAACATGCATCCTGTTTGCAACAGGGCACTTAAGTAATGCTGCAAAAAATGTGGCAAAGAAATGAACTTCTTGTCCTGAATACAAAGCGTAATGTTTGGGGCAAATCCAACACAACACTTCACTGAGTACCACTCTTCATATTTTCAAACATGGTGGTGGCTGCATCCTGTTATGGGTATGCTTGTCATCGACAAGGACTAAGGAGTTTTTTAGGATAAAAAGAAGCGGAAAAGAGCTAAGCACAGGCAAAATCCTAGAGGAAACTTGGTTCAGTCTGCCTACCAACAGACACTGGGAGACGCATTCACCTTTCAGCAGGACAATTACCTAAAACACAAGGCCAAATATACACTGGAGTTGCTCACCAAGACGACATTGAATGTTCCTGAGCGGCTTAGTTACAGTTTTGACTTAAATCGGCATGAAAATCTATGGCAAGACTTGAAAATGTCTGTCTTGCAATGATCAACATCCAACTTGACAGCGCTTGAAGAATTTTAAAAAAGAATAATGGACAAATATCATACAATCCAGCTGTGCAAACGCTCTTGGAGACTTACCCAGAAAGACTTACAGCTGTAATTGCTGCTAAAGGTGATTCTAACATGTATTGACTCAGGGGGTTGAATACTTCTCTAATCAAGATATATTAGTGTTTTATTTTCCCCAATTTAAAAATAATAATTTTCTTCCACTTTGACATTACAGAGTATTTTGTGTAGGTCATTGACAAAAAAGGACAAATCCATTTTAATCCCACTTTGTAGCACAACAAAATGTGGAAAAGGTCAAGGGGTCTGAACTTTCTTAAGGCACTATAGGTAGAAATAAAGTGACTAGGCAACAGGATAGATAATAAACTGTAGCAGCAGCGAATGTTATGAGTCAAAAGAGTTAGTGCAAAAAGTGTGTGTGTTCCAGGGACCAGTAATGTTGGAGACACATTGCCTACTGGTCAACTGTCGACCATCCCATGGAGGCGGGCCGGAGTGAAGTACACCAATAACGAAGCTTACTTTGACGTGGTGGAGGAGATTGATGCCATCCTGGACCAATCAGGTAGGAGCAGTACTGACTGGTCCACCGACACCACGGTGCAGAGATCCAGGAAGTCAGACTCAGGGGTTAAAGGTCAGGCATCAGGATTTGTGTGTAAACTGTGTTGTGATTGGTCGACAGGTACGACAGTGTTTGCAGAGATCCAGGGCGTGGTCGAGGCGTGTGTGAAGCTGTCTGGGATGCCCGACCTCACACTCTCCTTCATGGTGGGTCCCCCCCCCCCCCCCCACACACACACACACACGATACCAGGGTTGGTGTCCATTCGAACGAATTGAAGGTAGTCAATTCAGGAAGTGATTTGAATATCCCCCCCCCCCCCCCCCATTGAATTGGCTTCCTTCCTTCAATTCAAATGAACCCTAACACTGCACTGCGCATGCACAAGCGCGCGGCAGGTAGCCTAGCGGTTGAGAGCGTTGGGCCAGTAACCGAAAGGTCACTGGTTCGAATCACTGAGCCAGCAAAGTGGAAAAATCTGCTCTTGAGGAAAGGCAGTTAACCCACAACAACAACTGCTCCCCGGGTGCCGATGACGTGGATTAAGGCAGCCCCCCGCACCTCTCTGATTCAGAGGGGTTGGGCTAAATGCGGATGACACATTTCGTCTGAATGCTTTCAGTTGTGCAACTGACTAGGCATTTCCATTCCCACACACAAAGAGAGAGAGCCCCAGTGTATTGGTAGATTCATACTGCATTTTGTCGTTGCAGAATCCTCGTCTCCTTGACGATGTGAGTTTCCACCCCTGTGTTCGCTATAAACGCTGGGAGTCTGAGCGCGTCCTCTCCTTCATACCCCCCGATGGGAACTTCACCCTAATGACTTATCACGTCAATGCACAGAAGTAAGGCTTTAAACTCTGACCCTTAATCCTAACTCTACCATGTCTATTATTTTCAGTCTGGTAGCCATCCCAGTTTAATAATAATATTGGTAATATTCTATTTTATTCGGTTATATTCTATTCTATACAGTCTTGTAGCCATCCCAGTGTATGTGAAGCAGAGCATCAGTTTCTTTGAGAGTGGTTCTGGTGGTCGTCTGGACGTGACAGTTGGACCGAAGCAGACCATGGGGAAGACGGTCGAAGGGGTGATGGTCACGGTCCACATGCCCAAAACTATCCTTAGCGTCAATCTGACTGCCACACAGGGCAGTTACATATACGACAATGGTACCAAGGTAATTACACGCCAACTACCCTATTACCAAGGTAACCTCTAACCCCTGAGCCTAACCACTACACAGAGAAGCTATACCTATGACCCTGTTTCCAAGTTAACTACACACCTACGGCCCATTACCAAGTTAGACCAGGTAAACAGCCAATCAGCAGACATTACTATTAATACACTTCTCCATCTCACAAGCACCCCTGAACCCAACCCCCCCCCCCCCCCCCCCCCCCCACCTCTCTCTCTTTCTTTCTCTCTCTCTCCCCCTCGCTCTCTTCTCTCTAGTTGTTGGTGTGGGACATTGGAAAGTTGAACCCACAGAAGCTTCCTAACTTGCGAGGTAGTCTGAGTCTGCAGGCTGGAGCCCCCAAACCAGAGGAGAATCCCAGTCTGAACATCGACCTGAAGATACAGCAACTTGCCATATCAGGTACCCCTGACCTGTAAATCTTGTCCCTCTCAGCCTCTCCCTCTCAATTGTTGAATTCCAAATCGGTCCCTACTACCTAGCCCCCCTTGTAGATCTGAGGGGATTGGATAAGTAGAAGCCTTATGGTAATAGTTTAGTCTTGCCTCCTGATTGACTGTGGAAGTGTGACCATATTGCTTCCACCGATCCAATCCTCATAGATCTACGAGTGGCTCGGTAATAGGCGCTAGGGGTACATTTGTAATTAAGCTAATCTTTCTCTCAGTATCTTGGCAGTAAAGTTTATGGTGTTGGGGGTAGTAACCTGCTCTGTAAAATGTTGTATTGCCATAGTAATACAGCATGCTAAATATCTATGTATACTCCGTTTATTAGGTACACCACCCCGTTCACGAAAATGGTTCGCTCCTAGAGACAGTGAGTCATGTGGCTGTGGCTTGCTATATAAAGCAGGCAGACAGGCATCAAGACATTTAGTTACTGTTCGATTTTGTGCAACTTTGATCGTGGTATGATCGTCTGTGCCATGCACGCCAGTTCCAGTATCTCATAAACGGCCGACCTCCTGGGCTTTTCATGCACGACAGTGTCTAGGGTTTACCGAGAATGGTGTGACAAATAAAAAACATCCAGGCAGCGGCAGTCCTGTGGGCGAAAACAGCTCGTTGATGAGAGGTCAAAGGAGAATGGCAAGAATCGTGCAAGCTAACATGCGAGTCACAAACAGGTAAATAACTGCGCAGTACAACAGTGGCGTGCAGAACGGCATCTCGGAACACACAACTCGTCAGTCCTTGTCACGGATGGGCTATTGTAGCAGACAACCACACCGTGTTCCACTCCTATCAGCTGAAAACAAGAAGAAGCGGCTGCAGTGGGCACGCGATCACCAACGCTTTAAATTGTTTAACTTGGGTCAAACGTTTCGGGTAGCCTTCCACAAGCTTCCCACAATAAGTTGGGTGAATTTTGGCCCATTCCTCCTGACAGAGCTGGTGTAACTGAGTCAGGTTTGTAGGCCTCCTTGCTCACACACACTTTTTCAGTTCTGCCCACACATTTTCTATAGGATTGAGGTCAGGGCTTTCTGATGGCCACTTCAATACCTTGACTTTGTTGACCTTAAGCCATTTTGCCACAACTTTGGAAGTATGCTTGGGGTCATTGTCCATTTGGAAGACCCATTTGCGACCAAGCTTTAACTTCCTAACTGATGTCTTGAGATTGTTGATGTTGCTTCAATATATCCACATAATTTTCCTTCCTCATGATGCCATCTATTTTGTGAAGTGCACCAGTCCCTCCTGCAGCAAAGCACCCCCACAGCATGATGCTGCCACTCCCGTGCTTCATGGTTGGGATGGTGTTCTTCGGCTTGCAAGCGACCCCCTTTTTCCTCCAAACATAACAATGGTCATTATGGCCTAACAGTTCTATTTTTGTTTCATCAGACCAGAGGACATTTCTCCAAAAAGTACGATCTTTGTCCCCATGTGCAGGTGCAAACCGTAGTCTGGCTTTTTTATGGCGGTTTTGGAGCAGTGGCTTCTTCCTTGCTGAGCGGCATTTCAGGTTATGTCGATATAGGACTCGTTTTACTGTGGATATAGATACTTTTGTACCTGTTTCCTCCAGCATCTTCACAAGGTCCTTTGCTGTTGTTCTGGGATTGATTTGCACTTTTCGCACCAAAGTACGTTCATCTCTAGGAGACAGAACGCGTCTCCTTCCAGAGCGGTATGACGGCTGCGTGGTCCCATGGTGTTTATACTTGCGTACTATTGTTTGTACAGATGAACGTGGTACATTCAGGCATTTGGAAATTGCTCCCAAGAATGAACAAGACTTGTGGAGGTCTACAATTATTTTGGCTGATTTCTTTAGATTTTCCCATGATGTCAAGCAAAGAGGCACTGAGTTTGAAGGTAGGCCTTGAAATACATCCACAGGTACACCTCCAATTGACTCAAATGATGTTAAATAGCCTATCAGAAGCTTCTAAAGCCATGACATCCTTTTCTGGAATTTTCCAAGCTGTTTAAAGGCACAGTCAACTTAGTGTATGTAAACTTCTGACCCACTGGAATTGTGATACAGTTAATTAAAAGTGAAATAATCTGTCTGTAAACAATTGTTGGAAAAATTACTTGTGTCATGCACAAAGTAGATGTCCTAACCGACTTGCCAAAACTATAGTTTGTTAACAAGAAATTTGTGGAGTGGTTGAAAAATGAGTTTTAATGACTCCAACCTAAGTGTATGTAAACTTCCGACTTCAACTGTACCTTAAAATAATGGTAGGGGTGTGGATCAGAATACCAGTCAGTATCTGGTGTGACCACCATTTGCCTCATGCAGTGGGACACATCTCCTTTGTATAGAGTTGATCAGGCTGTTGATTGTGGCCTGTGGAATGTTGTCTCTTCTTCAATGGCTGTGCAAAGTTGCTGGATATTGGCGCGAACTGGAACACGCTGTCGTACACGTTGATCCAGAGCATCCCAAACATGCTCAATGGGTGACATGTCTGGTGAGTATGCAGGCCATGGAGGAACTGGGACATTTTCAGCTTCACATGAATTGTGTACAGATCCTTGCGACATGGGGCCATGCATTATCATGCTGAAACATGAGGTGATGGCGGCAGATGAATGGCACGACAATGGGCCTCAGGATCTCGCCATGGTATCTCTGTGCATTCGATTTGCCATCGATAAAATGCAATTGTGTTTGTTGTCCGTAGTTTATGCCTGCCCATACAATAACCCCACCGCCACCATGGGGCACTCTGTTCACAACGTTGACATCAGCAAACCGCTCGCCCACACAATGCCATCTGCCATCTGCCCGGTACAGTTGAAACCGGGATTCATCTGTGAAGAGCACACTTCTCCAGTGTGCCAGTGGCCATCGAAGGTGAGCATTTGCCCACTGAAGTTGGTTACAACACCGAACTGCAGTCAGGTCAAGACCCTGGTGAAGACGACGAACACGCAGATGAGCTTCCCTGAGACGGTTCTGACAGTTTGTGCAGAAATTCTTCAGTTGTGCAAACCCACAGTTTCATCAGCTGTCTAGGTGGCTGGTCTCAGATGATCCCACAGGTGAAGAAGCCGGATGTGGAGGTCCTGGGCTGGTGTGGTTACACGTGGTCTGCGGTTGTGAGGCCGGTTGGACGTAATGCCAAATTCTTTAAAGCGACGTTGGAGGCGGCTTATTGTAGAGAAATGAACATTCAGTTCTCTGGCAACAGCTCTGGTGGACATTCCTGCAGTCAGTATGCCAATTGCACGCTCCCTCAACTTGAGAGATCTGTGGCATTGTGTTGTGTGACAAAACTGCACATTTTAGAGTGGCCTTTTTATTGTCCCCAGCACAAGGTGCACCTGTGTAATAATCATGTTGTTTAATCAGTTTATTGATATGCCACACCTGTCAGGTGGTTGGATAATCTTGGCAAAGGAGAAATGCTCACTAACAGGGATGTAAACACATTTGTGCACAACATTTGAGAGAAGCTTTTTGTGCAAATGGAAAATTTCTGTGATCTGTTATTTCAGCTCATGAAACATGGGACCAACACTTTACATATTTTTGTTCAGTATAGATGGGTGTACCTAATAAACCTCAGACTCAGAGGAGTAATGTGTTGCATACAGTGAGGGAAAAAAGTATTTGATCCCCTGCTGATTTTGTACGTTTGCCCACTGACAAAGAAATGATCAGTCTATAATTTTAATGGTAGGTTTATTAGAACAGTGAGAGTCAGAATAACAACAAAAAAATCCAGAAAAACGCATGTCAAAAATGTTATAAAATGATTTGCATTTTAATGAGGGAAATAAGTATTTGACCCCCTCTCAATCAGAAAGAGTTTTGGCTCCCAGGTGTCTTTTATACAGGTAACGAGCTGAGATTAGGAGCACACTCTTAAAGGGAATGCTCCTAATCTCAGCTTGTTACCTGTATAAAAGACACCTGTCCACAGAAGCAATAAATCAGATTCCAAACTCTCCACCATGGCCAAGACCAAAGAGCTCTCCAAGGATGTCAGGGACAAGATTGTAGACCTACACAAGGCTGGAATGGGCTACAAGACCAGCGCCAAGCAGCTTGGTGAGAAGGTGACAACAGTTGGTGCGATTATTCGCAAATGGAAGAAACACAAAATAACTGTACATCTCCCTCGGCCTGGGGCTCCATGCAAGATCTCACCTCATGGAGTTGAAATGATCATGAGAACGGTGAGGAATCAGCCCAGAACTACACGATAGGATCTTGTCAATGATCTCAAGGCAGCTGGGACCATAGTCACCAAGAAAACAATTGGTAACACACTACGCTGTGAAGGACTGAAATCCTGCAGCGCCCGCAAGTTCCCCCTGCTCAAGAAAGCACATATACAGGGCCTTCTGAAGTTTGCCAATGAACATCTGAATGATTCAGAGGAGAACTGGGTGAAAGTGTTGTGGTCAGATGAGACCAAAATCGAGCTCTTTGGCATCAACTCAACTCGCCGTGTTTGGAGGAGGAGGAATGCTGCCTATGACCCAAGAACACCATCCCCACCGCCAAACATGGAGGTGGAAACATTATGCTTAGGGGGTGTTTTTCTGCTAAGGGGACAGGACAACTTCACCGCATCAAAGGAATGATGGACGGGGCCATGTACCTTCAAATCTTGGGTGAGAACCTCCTTCCCTCAGCCAGGGCATTGAAAATGGGTCGTGGATGGGTATTCCAGCATGACAATGACCCAAAACAAACGGCCAAGGCATCAAAGGAGTGGCTCAAGAAGAAGCACATTAAGGTCCTGGAGTGGCCTAGCCAGTCTCCAGACCTTAATCCCATAGAAAATCTGTGGAGGGAGCTGAAGGTTCGAGTTGCCAAACGTCAGCCTCGAAACCTTAATGACTTGGAGAAGATCTGCAAAGAGGAGTGGAACAAAATCCCTCCTGAGATGTGTGCAAACCTGGTGGCCAACTACAAGAAACGTCTGACCTCTGTGATTGCCAACAAGGGTTTTGCCACCAAGTACTAAGTCATGTTTTGCAGAGGGGTCAAATACTTATTTCCCTCATTAAAATGCAAATCAATTGATAACATTTTTGACATGCGTTTTTCTGGATTTTTTTGTTGTTATTCTTTCTCTCACTGTTCAAATAAACCTACCTTTAAAATTATAGACTGATCATGTCTTTGTCAGTGGGCAAACGTACAAAATCAGCAGGGGATCAAATACTTTTTTCCCTCACTGTATGTACCGTATGTTCAGAAGAGCAATGTACAGTATGTGTTTTGATAAATGTGTTACAGTATATGTGTTTTGATAAATGTGTAAATATATATGGTAACTGGGTGGAAATGTACAGTGTATGGTAAATCCATGATATAGTTAACTCAAAAACAATTTTTTAGTATTTTGTTTATTTGTCCACTGTTAATACATTCCCCCAAAATAGTGCATGTCAGCGGTCAAAATGTCAAGATAAAGAAAATTCAGTACAGAGCAAAACATGTGGTGATGCGTTTATGCTAACTGTGTTTTAGGACTGAAGGTGAACAGACTGGATATGTTTGGGGAGAAGTACAAGCCTTTTAAAGGGGTTAAATACATCACCAAGGCCGGGAAGTTCCAGGTGCGGACGTGAAGAGTGAAACCTAAAGGTCATAGGTCAACTAGCCAACGTGCCTAATGCTCTGGGTCAAAGGTCAACTCTTAGACATGCTAGGTGTCAACTCTTATCCTCTCTATTCGTAGTTCAGAGCCGTGATAGGTCCATTATGACAAATGTCTGAAGGTCGTAAATGGGGTTCACATCCCAGCGGACTATTATGGCTCTGCAACAGCGAACTATGAATTGAGCTTTCTACATGCCCAGTGTCAACTCTTCTACCTTATGCCTTTTATATCCCTATACTCACTCTGTATTAGGGACAGAGCCTGTATTAATAACTTGGTGGTTTATTTAAATGTTTATTATTTGGATGGAATGGAGTTGTTGGTCTGCGAAGGGAATTGTTTTGGACAATCAACCTATTATTTCTCCTGTTTCCGGAATTAAATAACCTCTACGGAATCCCCCTGTGTTCCAGCGCACATCTCTCTCTCTCTCTCTCTCTCTCTCTCTCTCTCCTCTCTCTCTCTCTGCTTCTCTCTCATCCTTCTCTCTCTCTCTCTCTCCTCTCTCTCTCTCTCTCTCTTCCACTATAATACTCTACTCTGCTCTCTCTCTCTCCTCTCTCTCTCTCTCTTCCTCTCCTCTCCCTCTCGCTCTCTCTCTCTCCTCTCCTCTCTCTCTCTCTCTCTCTCTCCTCTCTTCTCATCCTCTCTCTCTCTCTCTCTCTCTCTCTCTCTCTCTCTCTCTCTCTCTCTCTCTCTCTCTCTCTCTCTCTCTCTCTCTCTCAGCAGGTAAAGATTTAATATGAAGTTGTATATAAAGCATATTTTTTGACCATTTTATGACTAACAACCCTCTAATGCTGAGTAACTGCAACCAAGAGTGGAATCTCATTTGGTCGTACATGATGTTAATTAATATACAGGCTAGAAATTACTGCAGGTATTAATAAATATACATAAAGTAACTACTGCATGTTATTTGCCTTTCTCACCAGGGCCTTTAGGGTTGCCATTGAAACTGTTGTCATCCCAGCTAGCACATATGTTTCTTAGAGCTTGGTGAGAGCGTGGTTATCCTATGGTTATTTTGCACACAACCTTCTGGGAATGGTGCAGCATAGTTGCTTGGCTTTGGAACATTGTCAGCACAGTTAAGGAACTTCACAAAGAAAACATTATTTTCTTGGTATTTCATTACTTTAACACAACGTTTCCTAAAAGTTCAAACATGGATACATTTCATTTCAATTTTGGTAATGTTCTAGGAATGTTCTCCAACTGGTTTGACATTGGGAATGTTCTCAAAAAGTTCAGAGAACGTTAAGAAACAACGTTCTTCTGTGGGAATTTCAGTACTTCAGCATAATGTTTCCTCATGGTTCTATTTAAAGTTATGTTATCAGAACATTAAGAAAACTTTCCATAAAACCACAAGCAAACATTTGCAAAATGTAACCTTATGAACCAATGGGAAATCAAAAGCTTACATTCCAACAACTTCCAAGGAACCAAATGTGCTAGCTGGGATTTATGTCATGCCTGATACACAATAGGCATTTTCCCATAGAGGGTTGGGGTTAGAGTAGAGGTTGGGGTTAATGTGGATGCTACCATGATTATGGATAATCATGAATTATTCGTGAATACTGATGAGTAAGAAAGTTAGAGGCACAAAGATCATCATAGCATTTTTCAGGATTAATTTAGAAGTGTTCAGAAACATCTTATCTACACTTAACAAAAATATAAATATAAGCGCGACAGCAGTTGATCAGGCTGTTGATTGTGGCCTGTGGAATGTTGTCCCACTCCTCTTCAATGGCTGTGCGAAGTTGCTGGATATTGGTGGGAACTGGAACACACTGTTGTACACGTCGATCCAGAGCATCCCAAACTTGCTCAATGGGTGACATGTTTGGTGAGAATGCAGGCCATGGAAGAACTGGGACATTTTCAGCTTCCAGGAATTGTGTACAGATCCTTGTTACATGGGGCCGTGCATTATCATGCTGAATCGAGGTGATAGCGACGGATGTTTGGCACGACAATGGGCCTCAGGATCGCATCACGGTATCTCTGTGCATTCAAATTGCCATCGATAAAATGGAAGCTTATGCCTGCCCATACCATAACCTCACCGCCACCATTGGACACTCTGTTCACAACGTTGACATCAGTAAACTGCTGACCCACATGACCTGCTATCTGCCCGGTACAGTTGAAACCGGAATTAATCTGTGAAGAGCACACTTTTCCAGCGTGCCAGTGGCCATTGAAGGTGAGCATTTCCCCACTGAAGGGTGGCAGGTAGCTTACTGGGTAAGAGCGTTGTGCCAGTAACCGAAAGGTCGCTGGTTCTAATCCCCGGGCCGACTAGGTGAAAAATCTGTCGATGTGCCCTTAAGCAAGGCACTTAACCCTAAATGCTCCTGTAAGTCGCTCTGGATAAGAGCGTCTGCTAAATTACTAAAATGTAAATGTAAATGAAGTCCGTTACTACGCCGAACTGCAATCAGGTCAAGACCCTGGTGAGGACGACGAGCACACAGACTAGTTTCCCTGAGATGGTTTCTGACAGTTTGTGCAGAAATCCTTCGGTTGCGCAAACCCACAGTTTCATCAGCTCTCCGGGTGGCTGGTCAGACAATCACGCAGATGAAGAAGCCGGATGTGGAGGTTCTGGGCTGGCGTGGTTACACGTGGTCTGCGGCTATGAGGCCGGTTGGACGTACTGCCAAAATTCTCTAAAACGACGTTGGAGGTGGCTTATGGTAGAGATAATAATATTAAATTATCTGGCAACAGCTCTGGTGGACCTTCCTGTAGTCAGAATGCCAACTGCACTCTCCCTCAACTTGAGACATCTGTGGCATTATGTTTTGTGACAAAACTGCACATTTTAGAGTGGCCTTTTATTGTCCCCAGCACAAGGTGCACCTGTGTAATGATCATGCTGTTTAATCACTAACAGGGATGTAAACATTTGTGCACAACATTTGAGAGAAATACGCTTTTTATGCGTTTGGAACATTTCTGGGATCTTTTATTTCAGCTCATGAAACATGGGACCAACACTTTACATGTTGTGTTTATATTTTTGTTCAGTGTAATCACTTAGAAAGAAAATTACTCCAGTCAGTTCATATTGGGCAAAACATAACCTGAAACAAACTGCAAATGCATCCAACGAGTTTGTAGAGTTACAAGTTTGATCTAGTCATTGCATGCTAGGAATATGGGACCAAATACTCAACTTTTGACTACTTGAATACAAATACTTATGACTTCTTCAAATGGGGGGACTAAAATGCTTTCATTTTTAAACGGTAAAACAGATATGTATGAAAATACCTTAAACTCTGACTCTGTACTGTCACCTCATATGAAACATTTGATCTCAAATCCAAAATGCTGGGGTATAGAGCCAAGTATAAAAATGTTGCTTCACTGTCCAAATACATGTGGTGTTGAGTGTATATAGTCAGATGCCTCATCACTGTGATAAGTCGGTAACACTTCACACCCAGCGTCATAACATGTTATGACACGGTCATAATCATGTCATAACAGCTAACATAACTTGTCATAACCTGTTTATAAAATGGTCCTAACACTGTCATGACACATATTTAGACCTGTTGTGACATATTGCGTTATTTTATGGCTGGTTATGACACCTACATAAGTGTCAAAACCCACAAAACCTACCTACCACACAAGGCAAAACATTCCATTACACTGTAGCCTATGTGTCAACAGTATGTTTGTTATATATATATGTTTTAAATTGACCATATTAAATGATTGTAATCGCGCACACATTGATGTCAGACATGCACCTACCCCAATGCTGGTATGAATGCAGGGGCAGATTTCAGGAGCAGGACACGACACCCTCTTTTTGACTGATGACTGATATCAGGGCATGTACGTGATAGGCCTATCTGGCTTATATGATTATGATGGTCATAATGCTTATTGACAGTGTCATAAGGTGTATTTTCTTAGTCCAAGTAAAGTGACACAGGATGGTCATAATGCTTCATGACTGTCATAAAGTTAAATTTGTACAAGTTATTTAAAATATGAAAAAAACATTCAAATCAATTCAACAACTACGAAGGATTTAAGAAACAAACTTTTAAATGAAAGGAAACTTCTTGCCAGAGAAAAAACTAATTTGAATAAATGTGGGGTTTGACACTTATGTAGGTGTCATAAACAGCCATAAAATAATGCAATATATTACACAACAGGTGTAAATATATGGGTCATGACAGTGTTATGATCATGTTATGACAAGTTTTATTTGAGCTGTTATGATATTATGACATGATTATGACTGTGTCATAATGTGTAATGACACTTGTAGTGTCTTTGCACAAATACTAACTCACAGGTCCAATGTTGAAGTGAAACTGAAGGGAACCTGCATCTGAACCTGGATTTCACCATCAAGTCTTAAATAAAGATTGAACAGAAAATGTATCCAAGTGTCACATTTATAAAGTTTGAATTGAAAGTGTGCCCAAGCCTCACATTTATAAAGTTTAATTGAACCGTGTTTCTTACAGCTCTCTCTGCATGTAGTATGAAAAAAATGAAAAAAGTATGCTATCACTAACTGTAAGTCGCTCTGGATAAGAGTGTCTGCTAAATGACTAAAATGTAAATGTAGTTACTATAATCAGCAGCAGCAGAACATTCCGCGTCATTATGAAACATTCTTAAATGCACCCCTCATGTCTATGCATCATGCCACAGCAGAATACCATTCTATTGTTTAGCTTTTCACAAACACAGAAGTCCAACTCAAACAAATATTTTGCTCAATAGAAACATTCGTCCCACAAACGACAACTTCTAAAGGCTTTATATAAAATGACGTGGGGTAGGCTAAACTAATCAGAAAAACCCCTATCGGGAACAAACATAAATGGATGAATTCATAGCCATGTCAGCTTGTCTTCAAGTATTGTACAAAATGGGTGCACATACGACAGGGTGAAGGACAGTAGGGTGGCTTAAATTTCTCTCACCTACGCTGTCACCTGTATTCATAAGGTTCTATTGAACTGCAGTTAAAGATGACATTACTCCCCAGATCAAGTAACAAGAGTTTGCTGTAGAGAAGACAAATGTTATTTTCTGTCTGTTTCTGTAGATTTATTACATAGATTTTCAGTATGCTTATGGAGCAATTTCAGTGCCAACAGAAACTTTATTTGAATTCAATATTTTTGAATGTGTATATATATATATATATATATATATATATATATATATATTATTTATTTATTATTGAATTCAATGTCTTAATACAAATTCTGCCAAGAAGGTCAGCATCCCGGAGTCGCCTCTTCACTGTTGACGTTGAGACTGGTGTTTTGCGGGTACTATTTAATGAAGCTGCCAGTTGAGGACCTGTGAGGCGTCTGTTTCTCAAACTAGACACTCTAATGTATTTGTCCTGTTGCTCAGTTGTGCACCGGGGCCTCC